AATAACTGAATCCACTCATTTGAAGGGGTGTCCACATACTTGTGTATATATAGTGTAGCTAAAACACATTTTCCAATCATTGTAAAATTACATTTCATACAGTTGACCTCCTGCTTCTGCTCAAGCCGTGTGGTTCCTTCTTGACTGTCTCTCCATCTGTTGAAGGCTTGAAACACTTAGAACCTTAACTCTGGATGAAAATCGTAGTCCAGACCTACTCTTATGGGCATTTCCATGGTTACAGAGTGACAGTGAGACTCAGATGTTTCACTTTAAAATATATGTCAAACAAAACAAATGATTGCAAAGTTAAACAATCCATACAACTCTACGCACAAGGACTACTTTTAACAATTTCCACTGAAAATATTGCAAAACATATTTACTTGAAGAACAGTGCAGATGCAAAGATTGGTAACAGAATGACAGTTTGTGCTGTATGGTTTGTTCAACTTTGCAATCATTGGTTTTTGTTTGACATATATTTTAAAGAGAAAAATCTGAGTCTCAGTGTCACTCTTTTATCATGGAGTTTTATTTTATTCTTGTTTGTTTTTCAAGCGCTTCTGAGATTATTTTTGTAATGAAAAGTGCTATAGAAGTTGAATAAATTATTAGTATTATTATTTGTGTGTCCGTGTGCGCCAGATGCGATCAGGACACGCAGGTTGAAATATCAAAACAAACTCTGAACCAACTATATTAATTTGGGGACTGGTCAAAAAGCATTAAACATTTATGGCAATTTAGCTAGCTAGCTAGCTTGCTGTTGCTAGCTTATTTGTCCTGGGATATAAACATTGGGTTGTTATTTTACCTGAAAATAAAAAATAAAAAATGTATGCACTCACTAACTGTAAGTCGCTCTGGATAAGAGCGTCTGCTAAATGACTAAAATGTAAAATTTCCTCTACTCCGAAAATTAATCCACATATAAAAGGGTAAACCGAGTTTGTTTCTAGTAATCTCTCCTCCTTCAGTCTTCTTCTTCTTATTTTGACTTTATATGGCGGTTGGCAACCAACTTTAAGATGCATTACCACCACCAACTGGACTGGATTGTGGACCTCAGTTCATCTTTCAATCACCCACGTGGGTATATGCTCCTAAAAATGAATGAGGAGATGGGAGAGGCGGGACTTGCAGCGCGTCAAGCATCACAAACAGAACCAAGATCTATTTTAGCACCTGGCTACCAGACGCTTGTTGATGCGCGTGAGCAGTGTGGGTGCAATGATTGAATAACATGTATGTGTACATTTATTTTGCAATGCTTGCGCACGTGACGAGGGCGGTGTGGTCAGCATGTAATACTGTAGTGACTTCTGACTCTGGCCTTCTGTGTCGAAGGCATTGAACCTTGAAGGCGGTGAACCAGGCAAGCAGCAAGACACTGTCCTCTGCTGGATAGTTTAGGGATGGGCAACTTTGATGGGGGTGGAGGCCACAAAAAATCGGAGGGGCCGCAGTGAGGGGCCGCAGTGGCTCCCAGGTCTGCATGCCCACAACTATAGAGAGAAATAGTAATGGTGTCTTTTTTTAGTTGGACAAAGCCTATGGGGAAATTAATGGCGTTATTGTAAGGTTTTTGGATAAACGCCGAAAATAAGGTCTGTGGTAAATACAGGCTTAGGAGATCTTATAGGTTTTGTCTTATGAGATCATCTTCATCAGCTACTGTCACTTTTTGTGAATTTTGAAGCATTTATGTAATTTTAAAAAAGCACCTAAAGGCTTAATAATAACAATGAATAAAGGTGATGTTAACTGACTGATATCATCTCACAGATCTCCCAAGCCTGTGTTATCCTCAGACCTTATTTTCTTCCCCATTAATTTCCCCCATAGGAATAGCTGAAGGAACCAGAGGTAACTCATTTCTGGTTTTTAGGACTACAAGCTGGCGAGCTCTATAACCACACATGCTGTCAGAACCGGCCCTAGGCTTTTGGGGACCCTAGGTGTTTCGTTGTTGTTTAAAAAAATATAAAAAAAGACGTTTTAGAGTTAATTTCATGCAATTATTTACATTTTGCCATGGGGCATAGAGAAAATGTTGCAGTTTTAAAGCTCATTTAATGTTATTCTACTCATTTTGCCATGGGGCGGAGAGAACAATATGCAGTTTTACAGTTAATTTCTTGCAACTTTACACATTTTTCCATAGGAGAGAAACGTTTGCAGTTTTCAATATGATGTCTGAGTGAGAGTGACTAACAAAATCAATGGGGGCCCCCCGGTCTGTAATTCGACCATGATTACAACAAGTTTAGATAGCTGGCTAGACTAATTTACCAATCTACATTTTTTTGCTGACATGGGCTAATTGAGAGACTGTCAGTGATTGACAAAACAAAAGAGAAACTGCTGATGCACAACCAAATGTTGAAATTGCACCTTGTGTATTCTACTATTCTAATGCTCAATAGTAAGTGCCTGAACATTTTGTATATCCTCAGGCCTACAAAAGGTCACCAGTTTCCCATCCCTGATGTAGTTAGTACCCTTGGATGTGATCTTCACTGTATTGTACAAGTAGAGGGAGAGGGATAGAGAGAGGGAGTGCAAGGCTGGATGGGGCACTTACTATAATGCTTGTGCCACTTACTGACTGTTGTAGCAGGAAAGAAGACCCAGAAGGTTGGAGTGTTTGTCGATTATGAAGAGGGTCAGGTCTCCTTCTACCATGTGGAGGCCAGGACTACTATCCACTCTTTCATTTATTGCACCTTCACTGAGGAACTTCATACTTCTGCCCCTGATAGTTATAAACATGGTGAAAACTCCACCCCTATGATCATCTCCAGCCTACTATTAACGGAGTTTAACTTTGCCAGGTCAGCTGATCAACATTCTTTAGAGTGGAGATTGCAGTGTGTAATGAAATGCCACAAATGACTGTCTCATGATGTTCTCCCTTAACATTATTAAATGTCTACTCTTTCTTTGTCACTCTTATCAAGGAAAATAAATGAAATGCATAAACTTCATATTATTTGATATTATTATTTAATATTATTACTTCCTACTTTTTGTACTTTTTCTTTATTGAGTTCTTAGATGTATTCTGTTTCTACAAATAGCAATAACAAACTTACATTTCACATTGGTTTCGCAGACCTCATGGTAGTGCAATATGAATGTCAATATGCACAATAGGCTGATTGGGTAGGTGATTCCCCACATTCAAAGTCTCGCAATAAGAGCTACGATGCTAATGTTTGTGTAAACTTGTCACAGTTGTTGGTGTCACAGAGTAGACTGATATCCCATTTCATGGATCCACAATCCATAGTTAAGGCTGTACAGCAGAGGAGGCTGGTGGGAGGAGCTACTGGAAAGGAGCTATGGAAACCCTGTTTGACTCCGTTCCATTAATTCCATTCCAGCCATTACAATGAGCCCGTCCTCCTATAGCTCCTCCCACCAGCCTCCTCTGCTGTACAGCTTTAACTATGGATTGTGTGCAATATGAGTGTCAATCAGTGTTGCCATGTTCGTAGTTTTGTGGCCAAATTGGGCTACTTTGAAAACTATGTCGCGGGTGAAAATGTATTGGTCTCATTTCTCTTTAAAAATATACAGTACCAGTCAAATGTTTGGACACACCTACTCATTCAAGGGTTTTTCTTTATTTTTGCTATTTTCTACATTGTAGAATAATAGTGAAGACATTAAAACTATGAAATAACACATATAGAATAATGTAGTAACCAAAAAAGTGTTAAACAAATCCAAATATATTTTATATTTGAGATTCTTCAAATAGCCACCCTTTGCCTTGATGACAGCTTTGCACACTCTTGGCATTCTCTCAATCCAATGCAAGTCAATGGTACCTAAATTAGCATTTTACAAATCATGTCCAAATAACGTCCAAATCATCTACAAGTAACTTAATTGACTTATACAGTCATTTGTTTTTAGATACTTTAGGATGATTTGGACATGATCTGGTGCGAGAGGCACCTTAAATCAAAACCTCATCATAGTGAGCATATTAATAGTGAGATGTGCAATGCCATTTCGTTTCAATATTGTATTTATTTAATTGAAATAAGATCAAATCAAATCAAATTGTATTGGTCACATACACATATTTAGCAGATGTTATTGCGGGTGTAGCGAAATGCTTGTAATACCTATACTTGAGCTTTTAAGAATTCATTAAAAAAATATCTCTAAATAAAATGTATAAAATACATTATAACATACTAATCTTCGGGGGGCCAGGGCGGGCTGAGGGGTGCAGTTACCCCGGGACTTGGGAAAAAACGCCCCTTTTCTAAAAACATTGAATTAAATATAAAACAAAAGTGTAAACTGTAGCTACTTACTTCCCTTCATAGTTTGTTTGCCTAAACATTATCATCATCCACATACCTAATTTTTTACCAAACTTTGCTTTTTTGTGTCAGCAATTGGACATTGTTCTTTGGGTGGGCTAGTTACCCCACATTACTCTATTTTACCCTATATTAATCTGACTATCCACGGGGAGAGAAGGAGATATGTACCATTACAGTGGGATAGGCAAGCAAGTGATATATGTTTCAGTAAGATTGGGGTTTTAGCGTTTATAGCAATGGTTATTAATTGTACTGCAGGGATGGAACGCAAATCGAAGAAAATTGAGGTTGTGGTGGCAGCTGCAGAGAGATATTTGGGTGTGCGAAACTTGACAGCGGAAGAGTTACAGGGATGTTAAGTGGTGATGTCCCATCATTTCAGGTTGAGGGCATGAGGTAGGAGTGAGTATATTTAAATAGTGGAGAAGGGTGGGGTTCATTATTAGTAGTCGTTTTGAAGTTGTGAGTGTAGTGTTAGATGGTAGGATATTTCTTTGCTTTGTTTTATTTTATTTTTCAAGGAAATATAAGGGAGTTGTACTCCAGTCTAGTAGGTGGCGGTAATGCAACAAATTGGATGCCAACCGCCGTTAAACCTCATTGAAGAAGAAGAAGAAGGCACAAAACCGGAAGTCATTTCTTTATTACTACCAGCAGCAGCATCAGGCAGTAAACCTTTAGAAAATTCGAATTATTTCAGAAAGAACAGTATAGGGGCAAAATCAACTCGGAGATCTCTGAGCTAGTAACTAGCTCTATGTTAATTTCGAGGTGGTAAGAAATATTTATTATGTTGCGTTTTATACATGTTCTAACAATTTTAGAAGGGCAGTAAGACTGAGGCCGTGCTATATCAAGAATATAGTCACAGAAAAATGGCGTCGGGACACCCATTTACCTGTGACTATATTCATCATATTGCACGGTCGTATGTGTACTACTATGAAACGTTTACAACATCTAGCTTTAAAATTACAACCGAAATAAGCGATTATTCATATTTTTATTAATCTGTCCACCGGAGCGCGTTTGCTAGACCTAGAACTGTTCAAAACAAGACCTTGTTGCGATGCAGCATGGTGTGTATTCACAAGGAACCAAACTGGAGGGTCCTACCTGAATTCGTCCAATAGAAAGTCTAGTTTTTGTTGCAAAAAGTTTCCCGTTGCAAAACGTTTTGCTACGGTGTGTGACTGCTGAATATACACCTAAGCCTAATGTTGCTGGCTCCTAGCAGTCTTTTCTGCATTTTCGTTTGTTTGAACTTTTTTCTATTTACATTTGATTAGGATATCCTATCCTAGGACCTATGTGATGTGTAACTTCGCCTCGTTCAGTTGGATGTCAGTGCTCTGCCCAGCTACCAAATAGCTTGCAAACTCGCTAGCTAGTTTGTAGTTTAATTTTTGCTAGCTACGTTAGCTAACGTTCCCCTGGACTGGAGTTAGAACCCCCTGCCCAGTCACTGTGTTGCCTTTTGCAGTATTTACCTGGCTTGTTAGCTAGATGGCTAACTATCTAGCTAATTGTGGTAGTAGGCATGACTAAACTGCTTGTAATTTCTCTCTTCAGATTCTAAAAGGGATGAAATGTCAGGCTCACTGTGTATACAGTGTCAGACACAAACCACAGTGTTTAGTAAGACCTGCAACAGTTGTTTCTTCAACCATCCAACAGAGAAGAGGATGTTACAAGCAATGAAGAAGTATGATTACGAATGGGGACACAATGATTGCAACCATTATAATAATAGCTCTCAGATATTGACTTCCACTAAAGTATTGGTAAGTGTTCCCCCTCCCCATATAACAATGTTAATAATAATAATAATAATAATATATATTCAATATATATAAATATATTCAAGTTAGAGGCTAGCTACTACTGTAATTCTGAATGTCTGAATCTGTATTTCAGCTCTACAAATTACACACTCTGGGATTTGTCCCCCTTCTCCTGCTTGGAAAAAGGAGAAGGGGATCAAAACATATCGATATGGATTCCTTTTGCCCGCACCCCGAAGTCATAAAAGAAACGGGCTCTATTGAAACATTGAGAAACATTTATTTAGGTCTTCTGAATGGTAAGTGTACCTCATGTTTCATTTTTTGTTCTTTTTCAAATATTTTATTTTTAAAGGATTTTCTTTCACAATTTAGTACCAAAGTCAGACACAGCTGCCAGACATATAAAGTGGAATATTGCTTAGAGGAAAGATTCCCCCATTTTGAATGTTTTATCGTATTTGTGCATCTTTGAGCGATGTTCTATCGATTCCCGGTGTCATAAAAAAAAATCATGTGTATCTGAGCTATTCGCCATTCAAGCATACAGCCAGTATGACACATTTTACATCATATGATGCAATATGACGATATAATGTTCAAAATCGGTGAATCCTTCCTTTAAGTGACAACAATATAACAGTTACAACAACAGTAAGCGTTCATAATCAGTCTCTATCCAGAAGATCCAGAAACAGACCCCAAATCTTGATTTGATTTATTAGGATCTCCAATAGCTGATGCCAATGGCGGCAACTAGTCTTACTGGGATCCGACACATAACGAAAAAGACATTACAGACAAAATACTTTACAATTTACATACATTTAAAGAGAAATCTGTTGAAGGAATTAATCATGTAAAACAAATATTTTCCATGTTATATGATGTGAATAATTTTTGATAGCCATCCGGAAGCAAGGGGGGGGTGGGTGACTTGCATTCTGTGAAGATGTTTTTGGGGGCATCCACCATACCAAACATCAGAGCCTGTTGTTCCTCATAGGATGATTTTAAAACAGTCTCTTAGCCGCCGAAGAGAGCATGTTCTGGGTCAGGTTCAATCGCCCTCTCATATACCTTTGAATACAATTTTTTTTTAAAGTGCACAAAAGTCATTAAGTAGGGGGCAGAGCCAAAAAAGATAACTTAATGAACCCTCTGAGGCTTTACATCTGTCACACTGTGGGGAGACCTGGTGGTAAATTCTATGTAATTTGGTTTTGGAGTATTGAAGCCTATGCATTATTTTGTATCAATTGATATCTGGCATTGAGGGAACAGGAGTGACTTATAGACAGGGCTTCTCCCCAGATATCATCTGAGCTCTCAATATTTAACTCTTTAGCTACCATAGGTATCCTTGGGGTGACTGGTAGAGGCCTCTGTATAGTTGGAGAAAAAGGAGACAGATTGTGAGACGAGGTGTTTTGAGTTGGGAGGGCACTGTAGCGGGTCATAAAAGGAATGTTGTACAGGGAGGGTTTCAACATTTTCAATCTTCCATTTGACATAGTGTCTGATGTGTAGATAGCATAAGAAATGGGAATCAGAGAGTTCAAATGTGTTCTTTAACTGGTTGAATTATGCAAATGGTTTATCTATGTGTTCTATTGTGGCCAGTCCCTTCTCCCCCCACTCAACACATACCTTATCAGACCTGGGTGGAACAAAATAATGTTTAAAACATATTGAGGTGTGTACAGAGGTATCAGGCACCTTAAAAACATTTCTCAAAACAAAGTTATTGCCTGTCAGTTTGTTTTGGGCACTCTGGTTTGGAGAAATGCATGGCTGGAAAATAGGAATTTGTTGCGGTCTTGACTTCCATATTTAGCCACAGGAGGGCATCAGTGTCCAATTTATCAGGGAAACCTAATTGCCAGTGCGTTAATGCCCTGGCATTTACAGCCCAGTATTCATGTTTAAAGATTAGTAGGCTGCCACTTTCCTTGGGCTTTTGCAAGTGAGCTTTACAAATATGATGAGTCCAATGTTTTTAAAAATGAAGAGGAAAGAAAATATAAACGATTTTTATGCATAGAGTCAGTATTTTCCAGCTCTATGTTTTGTTTTGTAATTAGCTCACTGTAGTTAAGCTTGAAGGTGAGCTTTGGGTTTCTAGGTAGTGTACCTCATGATTCTGTATTTGACATGGAAATGAAAGCTTCTGATGCTCATTGTAGTGATATTTGAATAACTATCATTCTTTATAATGCAGTCACACTCGGCACTGAGTCCCAATGCCAGTGCTCCCCAGTGTCTCCAGAGCCAGACGGGACCCCTGCACCAGACGAGGTAGATGGAACCCCTACAACAATCAATCCAGTGGGAACCCCTGCACCAACCAAGCGAGACGGAATCCCCATATCATTACGACTGAACCTAATCCCCACACCAACAGAGCCAGGCAAACCCTCCACACCAACCAATCCAGTGGGAATCCCTACACCAACCAATCTAGTGGGAACTACTACAGCAATTGCTCCATCAGGAACCCCTGCACTAAATATGCTATACGGAATCCCCACATCCATCAGCCTGAACAAAATCGCCACACTAACAGAGCCAGCCAAACACTCCACATCAACCAATCCAGTGGGAACCCCTTCACCAATGAATTCAGTGGGAACCCCTGCACCAGCCGAGCGAGACGGACTCCCCACACCAACAGACCCAGGCAAACCCTCCACACCAACCAAGCTAGACGTAATCCCCACATACATCTGCCTGAACGGCATCCCCACATCCATCTGCATGAACGGAACCCCCACACCAATACAGCCCAAAATTCCCAGACCAATACAGCCCAAAATCCCCACACCAATACAGTCAGACAAACCCTCCACACAAAACAATCCAGTGGAAACCCCTACACCAATGGATGAAACCTCTGACTCCTCTGAGCCCCAGGACCAAGAGATACAAAGGCTAAAAAGAAAAATGTGGACAGGTAAGCATTAGGAGCCGGTTTCCCTGACAGAGTAGTCCGGGCCTAAAAAGCATGCTCAATGGAGAATCTCTAATGAAAGTGCTTTTTAGTCCTGGATAAGGAAAGAGGCTCTTTATGTTGAAATATAAAATGATCTGTTTCACAACATATTGTATATTTGCAGTTCTCACGCATGTGCCATTTATCACACAGATGGAGATCTAATCGAAGCTGAAGACGGTGCAACCACTCAAGCACAAAAGAGAATAAAGACAACCGGTATAACTGATATATTTCAATTAACTTACTTAGGCTTAAGGTTCTGTACAATCAAAATCTACATTTTTGTATTGTGCCACATTGTCATGATGATGCAAAATGCATCATATGTTGCAAAACGCATCATGATGATGTGGCACAATACACTTTGCATCTTGAAGTGCTATATCCTTAAAACTTGATTGCTTACAAGCAAAACATTTTGGAACTGTATCAACAGTGCACTAATGAAGAAAAAAAATAACTAAACGTTTTTGAGTGGATTATTCTATTAAAACTATAAATGGAGCTGAAACATAAAATAAGGATTGTATCAATAATTTGCTATCATATAGCATTGACATGTAGATTATAAAATGGAAATTTTCATTAACAAAAATATTAAATCGTTTTATGATCCTGTTTATAAGCTTTCAAATAATATTAAAAACAAACATTATCTTTATTAGTGACAGAGATATGGGTATTTCATGATAGTGAGGGGTCCAAAATGGGACAACTGAGCAGCTCTATCCCCAAAATGGTTGGTCATTCAGGTCCAAGATTCACATCCTCATCATTTCTACCAAGAGCATGTATAGAAAGTTTAATTTCAATAAAAAAGGTGATTAATTTGATATGGAATAACCTCATGGCTACTTCATCACTTTCACTCTCAAAAGTATCACCACAGAAAAAAGGGGAAACCCAGATACGTCACTGGTGGTATAAATCTGAAGCATCCGTTTAGAACTTCCACTCACCACCAAATATGGTGAGAAGAACATTCAGTTTGTTGAGCGCATAATTTCTTTTGCACGCACTACAGACGGCTATGTCGATCTGCTAATACAGGACTAGTAAAGGGCCAGTGCACACATTTCTTTTTTAAACCTTTTATTTGTATTAATATATTTTTTATTTATTCAGATTTTTCAGTGGGGTGCTACAGCACCGCTACTTCTTGCGGCTATGACAGACTCCATGAAATGATGACCTCTTCCTAAATATTTCGTTATGAAAAAAAAAAATATATATATATGGTTTCCTAGCCTTTGGCTCAACTTACCCACACAGACTTGACGCTTTGCCAAAGTTTCTAAAAATGTTGTTTAGAAGTCCAAGGGCGAATTGAGTTCTTGCGCACACACACTTCCCTAATGGAAATATCCAAATACATGCTAAAATACGCCAATAGTATCTTGCTAGCTCATGCTTAGCTCTGCCCATCTCCTTGCTTGTTCTGCCCACTGTGCTTCATTTTCTCTCATTGTAAATGACGCAGATGAAGAATCTTGGGTTAGTTAAAAGTATCTTTGGTATCACTGTGAATTATTTACATTCTCTAACATTGTAACTAACATTGTAACGGCTACCCAATAGATTAATTTGCAAACATAACATTTGATTAATTTGATCTGTTCATAGAAGAGTGGCTGAACATGGATACGGACAGGCCCACGGTGTCAAGACATGCAGAGGTAGACACTGAAGTATTAGATCAACTAGAACAACACGAAGGTAATTGATTTAATATGGAATAGCCTCATGGCTACCTCATCACTTTCACTCTAAAAGGTATCACTGTGTGCATTATTTACGTTCTGCAACATTGTAAAGGCGTCCGCATGCTTCCCAGCCAAAACAGTTCGGAAGAGTTTGTGCATGATGACATTTTGTGATGTTTTTGTTCGTTTTGGACTTCGGTGAGGAACTTTTTTTCGGCTGTTCGGGCACACATTTTTATTTTCTTAAGGCAAGCTGAAGTTCGAAGCCAAAGTCTACGCCCCTTTGGTGATTGGTCAACAGTAGGGATTCTTCAATGAAGTATTTTTTTTTGTCATTCAACAAGAGACGACTCGTTTTGATGCAAATCTTTTCATTAAGAAATACTGCACCAAACATCTTAGTTAGATGTAAAATTGTGCGACTAAAAAACGTCTAAATTAATGACAGATTTCTTGAGTTATTTTAGATTCATTCTGACTGTTTTGAGGAAGCGTATACTGGCTACGGCGTCTCAAAATGGACAAACGGTACTATTGCAGTGTTTTCTCGTTTTTCAAGCAAAGGTTTTTATAAGGGATTATGTGAGCACACTCGTTCGGTTCGCCAGCCGAACTGAAGCATGCTGACGCCTTAACAAAACGTTGTCACAGTTATCCCATGGATGAATTTGCAAACATAACATTTGATTAATTTGATCTGTTCATAGAAGAGTGGCTGAACATGGATACGGACAGGCCCACGGTGTCAAGACATGCAGAGGTAGACACTGAAGTATTAGATCAATTAGAAAAGAGCAGTATTGTACAAGCAACCAACAAGCAAACATTGTGGGCTATAAACTGCTTCAAGGACTGGCTGGCAGAGAAACAGATGCTAGTGGATTTCTCAACCATTGAGAAATCCGAAATGAATGTCCTCTTGCGAGATTTTTACTGTTCTGTTCGAAGGGGTAAAGGTGGGGAGTATTGCATCCCAAGCTATATCGGAATCCGGGCTGGCGTGAACAGATTCATTAACCTCCCTCCCCTTAGCAGAGCCTGGTGCTTGATGAAGGACAGTGAGTTTACCTCCTCTAATAATGTATTTATTGGGGTACTAAAGAAAATCAGACGAGAGGGCAGGGACAAAACTACCCATCCTAAGGTGATTAAAGCACAAGACCTTGAGATTCTTCAAAACTCTACTGTGCTAAGCCCTTACACACCCAGAGGACTAGTGAACAAAGTGTGGTTCGATATCCAGGTACACTTTGGCCCCAGAGGAAAGGAGGGCAATAGGCGGCTAACGCCACAGTCGTTTGTAATAAAGTACGATGAAAACGGAGCAAAATATGCAACGATGATTTCCAACGAAGAAAGACCGAACCACAAAGATGCAGAAGAGAAGAACGGGCCTAATCGCTGTGGAATCATGTTTGAGAATCCTGGTAGTCACCTCTGTCCGGTCGCCTCCTTGGAGAAGTATCTGAGCAAGATCCCGTCAGATGCCACCGCCCTCTACCTCCATCCTAAGAAGATGGTCATCACCAGTGATAGCATATGGTATAGCCAGGAGCCAATGGGGTTCAACTACCTTTCATCAATGCTGCCCCGACTGTGCCAGGTTAGCTTTTTTTTTTAGCAAATATTGCAATATAATTACGTAACATTTGAATATTCGCTAAGTTGTACTCAACTCAACCTGTTGTTGCTATTTGGCTTAATTTTCTCTCTCGCTTGCTCTCTTTTTCTCTCTATAGGAGGCTGGTACATTGGAGAAGTACACAAACAACTGCTTCCGATCTTTGCGTGAGATCATGTCTGTCAGCAGGTACAAGACTGATAGTTCCTTGAAAAGTTTTTGAAAACCTTCAATGGACAACAGAAAGAGATGTCAAATAGGCTCAATGTGAGTCAAGGCAGTGACACGTTTCAGTTTTACTTCCTACCAGCAACATTGTTTCCACTTTTTGGTCTTTATATTCTTAACACAAATGGAGAGCTTGACAAGATGCATACAGCCCTCACCAGATGTATTTGGACACTGAGGCTAAGATTGAACTTTATGGCTCTATATTCCAGCATTTTGTATTTAAGATGAATATGAGGCGACAGTTAAGAATGTCACCTTTAAATTGAGGTTATATTTTAGGTATAGATTTTGTTTTGCGCTGTGACTTTACTATTCTGAATTTTAAGCCTTTTAAGCTGTCTTTTCACCAACATGTTTTACTCTACTGGAAACTGTTTAAACATAATCATCCATTTAGAAAATCAGATGTTTAGAAAAGAAATCTCAGCACTACAAAGAATGGATGGATAAGGGGATATGGTTGATTCTGATAGATAATAGGGGGAATTGATTTTTGTATGAGGATTTCAAAAATATAATTGTGTTTGTGACTGGAAGCAATTTGATGTTATACTTCCTAGATCTGTTTTCACACTGGTAGAAAAAACATGTCTACACCACTTTGTATACCATCTCTTGAGGTAAATGGTCATAATGTTGAACAAATTAATTGTACCCTTCACATAGAAATGATATTTTCCTAATTTACAAGATCTATTGTTTAACCGTTATGTACCAACTATCTCAAATTACCTGTACCCCCTTACATTCAAGATTTTTAACTACATATACCTCTTTCTCAGAAATAAATTGAACTAACAAAACAATTTTGCAAGCTATAATGATAGTGCAGCAGAACCTGTTAGAGTGCTTGAGAGTTAAGGTAGTAACTAGAAGTGTGGAAAACCAGATGAGCCAAACATACGTTGCGGGAAGGAACAAAAGGGCCAAGAAAAGATGTAAACCATATGGAACCAGGAACAAGACCGCATCGAGAGAACATAAATATGGAGTGAAACAACCTCGTCTGAGGGCTGAGAGAATTTGATGTAGAATATGAGTAATAACAAGTACATGTATCCTAAAGTCTGTAGGCAGTCATTCAGATTTCACATTATAATGTTGGCCTACATCAATAATTGTAGCCTACTTTTCCTTCCCGGCGCTAGGGCTGCTGAATCAAGTGCACCTACCGTCAACAGCGCAAAAGAAATGAAGAAAAAGGAACGCAAGGCTTTATCACAGAGTTTCTAAACCAACTGTACTGTCTTTGGCTTTATCTTTGTTTTTTTTAGCTTGGAGATTGCGATCGACCTGTTGGTAACCACTGTTGTAGCCTTTTACTTGCGAAGCACGTCGGAGAAAATAAATTGAAATAATTTGCCCCACTATAGATTTACAGTTTATCAGTAAGGTAGGGCAAAGGCCTGCAGACTACTAAACCTGATAATCGCCCAAAAGTACATGGATGAGAAGAATCTGTAGTAAAACCCAGATAAACTGTCTAACAAACTGAATAATTAGACATTCGAAACCACCTGTAACCATGAACAAAATTATTGGAATGACCACACAAACTGTGAAATTATCATTAATGGGCTACAGGCAACCATAACTAGAAGCTGAAAACCACAATTCAGAATTGATATATTCCAGTCGATGACCACCCTGCCACTTGCTACTGGGAGGAGAATATAACCATTATACAAGATGGAACTGTGATTGCAAGGACTGACCTAACATGTCAAAATTGTTGTAGAAAAACGTTTGTTTATGACAATGAATGAAACGCCTAGGGTGATGAGTTAGGCAGTCATCGATCTACTGAGCTCATTAAGAATGGATGAAAACATTACTTTCATCACTGAATAATCATTTCATATAATGGAAGTGATATTGCAAAGTAGGCTACAATTATGCATGTAGGCCAACATTATAATGTGAAATCTGAATGACTGCCTACAGACTTTAGGATACATGTTTTACTGATTACTATACAATACTGATCCATGTTTGCCAGCAATGGAGTGTCAGGAAATGTAGAAATGGATGTTCCAAGTTCAAGTGTTGTAGTTATCCATCTGGCTAGCTTTTAGCTTTTGCACTCAACATGGAAATATAATTGTTGTGATTGAAGTTGTATTGAACATTGTGAATACAAGGCCTATCAAGAGACTATGCCTGATTTATTCATGTAACACCAATGAGCTATAAGATCATCACTAGGCCTATGCATTGCATGCAGACCGTTAAGAAAGAATGTGACAATGGGTAACTATGAATGCCATCAGATAGATAGCCTATGCGCCTCTGCACCTGTAGAGAAAAGATTGGGATATATCTCTGTGCACTTCCTGCTAAATAAAGTTTATGACACAACACAACATATTGTTTACCAAACAGGCCAAGTGAGTCTAAATATTTATGATAGTGATTTAGGAATCCCAAATGTAAAGAAACCCATTAGCCTATTAAGTGTGCCCCAAGAAATGCTTCGGAGGCTATACGTAAGCGTGCATTTACAATAATCCATCCAGATCTGAGAGCTGAGTTGAATTAAATTATATTAACATGGGATGACAGCTAGAAGTGGCAGCATGATTGAGTGGATCGAAATGCCAGGGACGTGCCATGCAGTAATGAGAAACAAAAGTAGCCCACCCAATCAGATTGAGCTCTACTTGTCAGTGTTCCCAACGGTACATTATTTGTCTTTTTACCTAAGCACAGTACTTGACTTGGGCAGGAGCTCACCAGAACTGAGTTCTTGCTCCTCCTATAGAATATTAGCTCAAAAGTATTGAGGAGTTCTTGCACCTAAATATAACTGGTACCGGCACCCAGAATGAGTACTGGCACCTATTTCAGTCCAAGTTAAGCACTGGCCTAAACATGCATACACCATCAGATAGAATTCATAGCAAGCAGTACACCCCAACCCGAGCACTCCGTTCTGCCACCTCTGGTCTCTTGGTCCTACCACTCCTACAGGAGGGCAGCTCCCGCTCAGCCCAGTCCAAGCTCTTCTCTGTCCTGGCACCACAATGGTGGAACCACCTTCCCCCCTTTCTAGGACAGCAGAGTCCCTGCCCATCTTCCGAAAGCACCTGAAACCCTACCTCTTGCACTTGACCCCCCCTTTCTAGCTCTGACTTTGCTGATCGCTACTTATTGAAGGAAAGTGTACTTACTACGCCTGTGATATGTGGTTGTCCCACCTAGCTATTGTAAGATTAATGCACTAACTGTAAGTCACTCTGGATAAGAGAGTCTGCTAAATGACTAAAATGAAAACGAAAGGGATCTAAAAAAAAATACATAATTTTACCTTTATTTAACTAGGCAAGTCGGTTAAGAACAAATTCTTATTTACAATGACGGCATACACCGGCCAAACCCGGACGACGCTGGGCCAATTGTGCACCGCCCTATGGGACTCCCAATCACGGCCGGTTGTGATACAGCCTGGAATCAAAGCAGGGGGTCTGTAGTGACGCCTCAAGCACTGAGATGCAGTGCCTTAGACCGCTGCGCCACTTGGGAGCCCAATAATAATACATTTTATTAGGCAGATGCCAGTCAGAACACTCAAGGACATCTTACATAAAGTCTAGAGCTGTAAATAGAATCAATTTAATTTAGGCCTATGTAATGAATTTGAATTATCTTTTAATATTTTTTTGAGAACTTTATACTTTTACTTCACTACAGTCCTAAATAAATTATGTACTTTTTACTCCATACATTTTCCCTGATGCCCAAAGGTAGTCGTTACATTTTGAATGCTTAGCAAGACAGGAAAATGGTCTAATTCACACACTTATCAAGAGAACATCCCTGGTCATCCATACTGCCTCTGATCTGGCAGACTCACTAAACACATGCTTAGTTTGTAAATTATGTCTGAGTGTTGGAGCGTGCCCCTGGCTATCCGTAAATTTAAAAAAAACGTCTGGTTTGCTTAATATAAGGAATTTGAAATGATTTATACTTTTAGTTTTGGTACTTAAGTATATTTTAGCAATTACATTTACTTTTGATACTTAAGTATATTTAAAACCAAATACTTTTACTAAAGTATGATTTTACTGGGTGACTTTTACTTGAGTCATTTTCTATTAAGGTATCTTTACTTTTACTCAAGTATGACAATTGGGTACTTTTTCCACCACTGCTAGCCAACTTGGCTAGCAAAAAAAGGTAATGGCCAAACAAAGCTCACTGTTCAGATTTTGCTTATTTGAGCTGTTCTTGCCATAATATGGACTTGGTCTTTTAACAAATAGGGCTTGTCAAGGATGTAGTAGGTGGGTGTGGTGGTGGAATCAGGCGCAGGACGCAGAAGTATATTCCAAAGACTTTAGTGAAAATACTCACAGTACCAACACTAGATAGCCCGAAGGCGAAACTCCGCACGCAGGCGAAACAAATACGTGCGCACAAACAGGTGCGACGAAAACACTCCAAACTATGGAGGAACAGCTCAACCGAGCAAAATGCACAATACGTCTGGCAACAACCAAGACAGTGGAAACAATAACACACAACACTAGGCAAAACACAACGAGAACTTATAGGACACTAATTACACTAAACGAGAAACAGGTGTACAACAATCAGACAAAAGCAAACGAACACAGAAACATTCAACGGTGGCAGCTAGTATTCCGGAGACGACGAACGCCGAAGCCTGCCCGAGCAAGGAAGAGAGGCAGCCTCGGCCGAAACCGTGACAGTACCCCCCCCTTGACGCGCGGCTCCAGACGTGCGCCGACTCCGGCCTCGGGGACGACCAGGAGGACGCGGAGCAGGGCGCGTCGGGTGCCCACGATGGAATTCCGTCAGGAGAGACGGGTCCAAAACGTCTCTCCTCGGCACCCAGCACCGTTCCTCCGGACCGTACCCCTCCCACTCCACTAGATACTGGAGACCCCCCATCCGACGTCTCGAATCCAAGATGGACTTCACGGAGTACGC